TTTTAAAACGCAGACAAAAATCTTGTTGCCATTCTCTTTGTAAATATTGTTGCTTTATTCTATAAAGATTTCTTTTATTCAAACGGCTTTCTTAACATGTTTTTACGACCTCAAATTCTTCTTCTGCTCTCCCTCATTTCATGTTCAGGTAGATTCTGTCGTTTCTTAATATTTTTTTTTTTTTTTGGAAGCATTGACCACGGTTTCATTGTTCAAAATCTGTCAAGTTTATTAAAATAATTTGGAAAATTTATCCTTTTCTAAGTTCTGTGCATAAGTTTGGAGCATATACCCCAGTAAGCGGCGAGGAAATTTCTACATCTGCTCCAAACTATTTTCAGTATTTACAAGGTTTTTTATTTCATTTAGTACAAAAAGTTGACTTTCAAATAGCATAAATGTATGGTAAAATTTTGAAAAAAAAATGCACTAATTTTTGATAATTAAAGAGTATCAGCACAAAGAAAGTTATCTTTACATTAGTTAAAAATCAAGCGCAACTTTAAAAAATTTTAATCGCTAGAAATTTCACTAAGTAATGTATGTTTGTCTTTAGTTTACAATAATTGAAGTTTAAAAATTTTTTATCAGCGTATAGCTATACCGCCCACCACACTTTTTACAGCTTTACATACATCACGTAAAGAACCAGATAAAACTCTACGAATAGTTCATTCACATATTCAAAAAAAAAATTTCTCTTCAATAGCCCTCTCTCTTTCAACACTTCAAAACTCCTTATTCTTGAAATATTTTTTGTGCCTTATTCTAAAAAGTTTTTACTGCTCTAAAGCAGATGGAGAATAACTAAAAAAAAAAAAACAGAATTCTCGTTTCTTTTTTTTTTTGATTTTTTATAACAGTTTGTCTGTAAGCATTTTCCAAATATGCATTTAGTCCTCAACTAAACTGACCTTCAGTATTTCTGACAACGGTGAAAAAATAGCTAATGTTTATTTAAAGAGTAACTCTTATTCAGTTTTTCTGTTACTTCTTAAAAGGTGCCTTAATTTACAGTAACATTCTTCAGTCTAAAAATCAGCCTTTTTTACTTTATTTCAGAGTATTAAACTAAACGCTACTAATGAAATCTTTATTGGTACATGTTTAAGAAGATTGATTAGAAATGTTCAAATTTTACTCAAAAAATACATTTTTGACCTTCTGAAGCGACGTTTTTTACTTTCTTAATTTCTTTCACAGCTTAGTGATAGTCAACAAACGTTTTTTTTCTTCTCTCCTATTTGTTAAGCTATTGACTGTGACATAAACTTTTCAAAGTCATTCTCATTCTCCAGCAACCATAGTTCTCGTAAAGTTTAATCCTACTGCCGTAAAAAATTTTCCCAAACCTTTTTTCAAAAGTCGATAATTTTATAAATTAAAAAGAAAAAACAAAAATTTTTAAATAATTTTTTCTTTGATCCAATCAGCTACCACATGGTTGAAAAACAACTCTTTACCATCACTTTATCTCCCTATTATAACTTTTCACGATGCCAATTTTCTGCACTGAAAGTTATTTTAAATTTAACCAAAGATATCTCAGAATAAACATGATGCGTTTTCTTTGAAAAAAAAAACAATAAAAATATTAAAATATCCTATTCTGGTGTATCTAAATAGCTATCCCACAGTATATGTCAACTTTTAACTTTAGACTGAGTGAATAAGTTGCCAAAATAATGAAATTTTTGCTTATCATCTTCAAAATAGCCACATGCGAAACCGAAATAAGAGAAATTTTTTTCTTTCGGTTTTATTCTTTCCTTAAATTCATTCACTGATGAGTTACAGCAACTTTCCATATATTTTTAAAACGAGAAGCTAAGCAGAATTTGCAAATGTTTTTTTCAATTTTTTTCAGTATAGTTAATTTGAAGGTTTATAAAACGTTCTGAAACAGATAAATCTTCTAAAAATAATTTGGCAATAAGTGTAAGATTGCCAACATGCATTTTTCTGGCCTTACAGTCAAATAAGATACGAGAGACCTGATACTGAGCACATCGTCGTATGCTCCTTTGAGCTACTTTGTGTGCTAACAGCTAGACGTTCACAGGGAACAAAATTGCACCTGATATTGACTCATATCAACTTGTTCAAATACATCTCTGGTTTCGTTCCGACAGATTAGAGATTCAGATTCTGAATTTACGTTACTCAGTACTTTGTTGGTGAAAAGTTATGACGAAAAAAAAAACAAAAAAGCAAAGTCTGCTTCAATCTAAACTTGATAGGTCCTTTTGTCAAAATTTTCATCGCGCAAAAAACGAGTGGCGTGCATATAATAGGCATAATTACAGCACTTGGACGCTTCTCTATAGACATTCTTCAAATTTTTACCTAAAAAACTAAACCACAAAAACTTTTTGCTCAGCTAAGCACAGCACAACTTTATTAAGCTCCCTTATAAATAACTTTTGAAAGACCGTTCAGCCACTTGCAAGACAACCAGTACATCTCTTTCAGTTTCTTGGAAGAAACTCTTTTTGCAAAAACACAGTTCGCATTTCTCAAACATAAGTTTAGATCTTATTGGAAATCTCGTCGTTTGCACTTCCTGCTAACAAAGCAATAAATAAGGCACTTTTGAAGACTGAAAGTGGAGTTCAAAAGCTCAATCGGAAAAAGCAGTGTAGTTCGCAACTTTAAAGAAGAAGCCGCGGTTGAACTTACGGTAAAGAATTTTGACTCAGCAGCGGGCTAGATGCATCCAGTTTTAATGCAATGACCATGAGTCCTCCGGAAGTGACACCTTGACTTAGCTTAAAACTTTATGCTATCTTTGGATGAATTTTCTACAACCTTTATTATAGAACATTAACTACAGTGAATGTACCCTGCAATGTTCATTCTTCTTCTCCGTCTCCAATAATCACTTTTCACCCTTCTGTTGATTGTCTTTGAGATCAACCTCTTCTTCACCTCCTTTTTGAGAAAAACATCGAAACAAATATGTGCCCGTGACGACAACAGTTGCTAATCTAACGCAGTACCTTTACTCTTCTAAAGCATTTGATCACTTGAGCCTTTCCTCATTCTAAGCAAAAGACTGTGTTGCAGGATATGAAATTAAAAAATTATGATCAGTTATTTACCTAAAAAGTTCCTTAAAGCTCTTCTTTCTCTTGTTTCCTACTGAATAACTGAATAAGCAAGTTTTCGACAAAAACAACTGCATTTACATCAGATAAAAAATATAATATAGGGAAATGCAGAAAATTCAACAATATTCAAAAATACTAAAGGATAATAAGCAGCTAAGTTGTTCAAAGATTTAAAATCCTTCTCAAAATTATTCTCGAAAGAAATGCGCAGTTATTACCATCAAAAACCTATTCCTCAAACAGTTTAGCATTACCGCGTTATATCGAAAGCAGCAAAACAACCATGAAGACTGAAATTTCTCAAAAACTTTACTCGTCAGGGTTTAGCTTTATTCATTATATTTCCAGTCCTTCTTGTTCCTCCTTCTGCCTTTTCAAAATTCACAATTTATGATAGACCCAAACACGATTTCAAAAATTTATTCTTACAAAAAAATTTACAGAAAAACTTTTATAACAGGTTAAAAAAATAAATTTTCAGGTTTTACAATAACTCCGTCCACGTCTTGGCCCATATTTAATCCATACGACGTTCATATAAGACCTGGCATTTTTCAATTACAAGTACCACAGAACAACATTCAGCCTCCCATATACAACTGGTCACCTTACCATTACTACTATGCTTATGTACCATACCCACAAACTGCACCAATATCTTTTCATGTTTACTACAACTTCCCATCTACCATCAGGAAGCAAGAAATGAGCCAAACGAGAAGCACCAGTATACCCCATCCAGACCATCAAAAACCTGACGAAATTCCAAAACGGCGCTCCAGAGTCACAAAATACAGGAATTTGGACAATCAACCAACAAAACAGGATGCTTACGCCAAACCACCAGGTCCTTTCCCAAATATAGATCAATCTTCTAAACATAGACCCGTTAAGAAAGTTCCACCACTTCATGTCAGGTCGGTAAATGCAAATCGACATAGATTTATTATTAACTGGAAAGAAGATGATATTCTCAACATAAAAGACGCGACTCCTTTTCCTTCTTCCATTGATCGTCTATATTTTGATGGTAAAAGAATTCGACCTTACTAAACGTCTTTAATCAAAGTTATGAGAAAAAATTGCGAAGATGGCAGTGTTCAACGTTTTCACACACTTCACTCAAATGGTAATTTACTGACTTATGGCCTTCTTCTGCCCAGAATGCTACTTGCACTAAAAAATTTTACACCAAAAAATAAAATGAAACAAAACCGTTCGAGTGTTAATGAAAGCGCACATTCAAACAAGTCATTTGCTGAGGGTATGACATCATTGATTTTGCTAACAAAAAATTCTAAAACCAATAAAAACCACTAATAACTATCAAGCGCTTTGAGCATTTTCTGTTCAGCTAGAAAAGTAGGAAACAGCAGCTTTCATGAAGCATAAAGAACAATAAAAACAATTATTTAAGTTATAAAATTTTCAAGTAAACAAGCAGTTTTTCAAAAAGAAATAATTTGCGATTAGTAAGTTCCTGAAAGAACAAAAAATTAACCTGCTTTATGCAACCACAAATGATTTCAGTGACAAGAACACAACGAATAAGTACCGTAACAGCAACTCATTCTGTTGAAAACGAGAAGCAATAAGCAAAGCATAGAACTCAAATCCAGCAATCGAATATACAGCTAATTTAGCAGTGTGTACACAATGAAAAACTCCAGAAATTTTAACAGCAGAAAAATATCTAACTTTCCCACTTAATTCAAAACTGCTTTAAAAAATCCATCCCAACAAAGCAGACGGTTTTCCCCATCAACAAAAATAAAAAGGAATAAGTAAAACAAAAAAAAATTAACCAGATAACTCACAGAAAGAAGCGCATTTGAAGATTTTTTTCTTCGACCTTGAAAAACTCAACGCTTGATGACAGATATCAACAACTCCTGAGTTTGTCAAGCAAAGCAAAAAATGATCGACAAGTGAAAAGCCTTATTCTGCACCTTACGTCGAACATGACTTGTCATGTAGGAGGTTGAAGAACAATAATTTTTAAGTTGTGAAACTCAGCAACTCTACTCTTCTGAATTTAAAATTGAAAAAATTAAATAGTTGAAACCACTAGAGCACTATCGTTCCTGGAACAAGATGGTCCTTGCTGAACTGCACTTAATTAAACGTGTAAAGAGAATAAGATTTAGTTCTGACCACAGATGACATACGGTAAGTATGATGTTCCGCTTTAAGAGTTCAACTCCTGTTCGTTTGAAGCAACCTTTCGTTTTACAATATAGATACGGTTGCCATTTCTAGTGATAACATAGAAATACTTAGAAAATTGAACTGTTACAGAATTGAAGGGTTCTGGATTGGCTGTTCTAAACAACCTACATGCGTGTAAAATCTGTAATACAACATGTGCCGTCTCCTCACTATTTGCTAATTCCCCATGTGATCCCAAGATAGTTCTATCGGAAATAACCATATAACCGACTTGATTTGGAATCTTCAGCAAGGACTGAAAAGCGCATTCCATGACTGCTGAAATATAACATGTCTTATCCGAGAAAACTTTAAACTAAAATCCCATTTAAACGTGCCAATGAAACCTCTCATAAAAAAAACCTTACACTAATTTCATAGAGAAAACAAGAATTAAGCATTACAACTTGGAAGGCCAACCCAACCTTAACCTCTACTAGTCTAGACAACTGATGGGAGAACCGTCAAGAAAACCTTGAGAAGAACACCAAGCTCCAACAGGGCATACCTTACGCTGCTGCAAAGAACCTGTAAGATCACCCGCGAGCCTAAAGCAAATCTACGGTCCCAGCACCGCACCTGTAAATTACAACTCTCGAAATCAAAGTACTACCTGTCAAATCAGTAGGCCAGACTGTATTAAAAAAAAAAAAGACAATAAGAGAAATGAAGGCAAACTCCCCCAAAACGCCTGCTGCCTTACCCGCTAACGCACTCTACGGCCCACAAAGGAAATATGAAAAAAATTTGTAAATTTGTAAGCGAACCAAGAACAAAACCTACCAATTTTAGATGTTTATTAGCATTAATTACATCTGCTAACTCAACACCTGCAGACAAGTTGTATTACTTCATCAAGCACTACAACAGAGTAACAGCATTAAAAATAGCAATAAAATAAAAAATGCAATAAAATAATTTTAAAAAATTCAGAAAATTAATGAAATTCACAACGAACGCAACAGAACTGATAAAGCTTCTTGAAAATTTACAAATAACATCAACCGTTATCAGCACGTTCAAAGAATACTCAATGACAATAAAATAAAAATACTTACTGAAACTGAAAAAGGAAAGCTCTAAATAACACGCACGATACACAAAACTGCTATGGCAGTAAAAAATTATACAAGCAAACTGACTCATAGCACTAAAAACAAATTAAAAGAAAAAACATTAAATACTTAATAAAAGCAGATCACAATAGTGCAAACCCATGCAACTTTGGATAGTACCTCAGCGCTCATTTAAATACTTTCGCCCTGCCAGAGATGAACGAACACTGAAAAAAAAAAATAACTTGAAAGTGAGAAAAAAAGAAATGTTTCAGCAACATATAAGAATTTTGTCCTCATGAAGCTTCATTAAACGCCTACTAGATGAACAACAAATTTACCCATCCTGAACGTTTAAACTTCACTCTCCAGACTGAAGTTGCATTAAAAAATACTACTGAGTTTCCATTAAAATTTCTCTGAATTTTTTCACTATTTCATTTGAAAGATAACATCACGCCAGTATATAATAAGCACTTAACATCGCTAAAGACCACCGATCATATTCTCAATGAAGAAAATTTCCTTCGATGTTTACCAAAACTCTCTATGTAAATATCATTTCATTTGTGTCAACTAGACTAAAAAAGAAAACGTCGAAAAAGAAAAGCATATGGAACCTAACCATTGCTGCAAAAGAAACTGAGCAGTTTGCAGCTGCGACTGGGTACCAATAATAGTTATTATGCGTTCAGAGTTTTCTTGAGGAGGTTCAATAGTAATCTGCGCTCCTGACTCTTCTCTTATTCTGTTGATTCTTTCACCACCTTTCCCAATTATAGTACCTCCGAGCTCATTCGGGATGGTCACCTTTAAAGAAAATTGGTGAGAATGACTGAAAGTGCCATTTAAAGGTAAGCAAAGCAGAAATTTGGTAGAATGAAAGTTTAATTAACACAGCATTAACCTGAACTCGACTAAAACCTCTATGCAGCAAAATATACCTGGATAGTTCTTTGAGGACCACATGCAAACGGAGGCGCCAATGAACGACCACCAAAGTTATCGCCAAGATTTCGTGGACACCGTGGTAGTGGAGAATTATAAGTATCGTAAAAAGTATTACGTACTATATTATACTTCTGCATAGAGCCCCTGATATAGTTGCGGTCAGGTGGAAACCCACCATAATCATTAGCAAACTGAGGATCGTAAAATATTGATTCATAAGGCCGGGATACACCCTTGATAGGTATCTGAAAGTGCCCTCAAAGTCCACATCCAAGAACTTCAAAACAATCTTCTTTTTAATTTTAATTGAACACAAAGGTATCTGAATTCCAAGAATAATCGTAAATAATGAATAATTAAACTGTGCCAGAATCACAGAAAAGGATAGCTGATCTGGTTAAACCAACAACAACACCTCTTTCAACATATTTATCAGTATTCTAACACACGCAACTATAGCATCTGGAGATCCATTGATCTGAACAATCCTCTCGCTAGACTGTGGGCAAGGTTGAGAAAACACCTGTCAAAAGAGCCACAATTGAGCGAAAATTGAGAAGAACCACACGATCAATTTAAAAAAGTATTCAATGAAAAAACAGCCCACCTTTAGCTGTGCACCGGTCTCTTCACGAATTTCCTTAATCTTTGACCCACCTCGACCAATGACAGCTCCAGCATGAGACTGATGAACCAAAACACGAAGTTCCGGATCCCGAGAATCTTCTCTCCTTTCTTTTTCAAGCTCCTGAAAGATTCAACGTAGGTCAGGTTCGATAACTACAGATAACTGTTCACAAAGAGCATCTCTCGTTACAGAAAAAACTGAGAAGACTGAAAGGAAAAAAACAAGTCAACCCATGCCTTCTGTAGCTTCTTCAAGATATCGCTTAGACAAGAGAGAATCTTATCGACTGTAGCATAAATTGTCATTATTCTGAAACGGAATTATTTAGGCAACCGAAAAAAACATCCAGTCTTACGTATGATTTATCTCTACACCTTTATACACTAAATAACGACACCAAAATCCTGGAAAGCGAGATTAAAAACCTGACTGTCCTATTAGGAAAACTAAAGACTAGGTATTAACCTAGTACTTGTACTTTTCCTTTCCATCGATTTATGCAAACCTATTATCTCAAAAACAATTCATTTCCCAAGTTCTGCAGAGGAGCAACGGTAAATAAAAGCTCATTTAAGCTCAGAAAATAAATTGAGAATTTTTTTGGTTTGGTAAAATAGGAAAATTTAAAACAAGCGTGGTGCTGAGGCGGACATGGAAAGAACATAGGTGGGCAAAACCAATAAAATTCCGCGTGATTCCAACAAAGGAACCAAATTCATTTAATTCCACATGATCAAAAATATAGGAAGGGTATTCAGGAGGGATTACCGTTCAGGCGTCTGGCTATCGGGAACTGTGAGAGTCGCGTCGAACTGCAATAATTATCAAAAGTATTGGACGAACCAGGGATTACAGTCTCTTTTTCTTTTATTATAAGGGACACAACACCAGCCTCCACACTGTTTTTCGGTAACCAGTTGAAAAACAAAATGAAAAGGAAAAGTGCGCAAGGGTTGAACAGTAAGGAGACCGCAACCATGAAATTTTTTGAGGTTTTTTAACCGTTAAAAGTTATTTTAGATCTTGTCATGATATTTGTATCAATTATCCTACAAAAGTGTCCATGAGGCAAGGCCGAATTTGCACGTTAGAAGTTTCAAAATACTGAATAACTGTCTAACGAGAAAGTGTGCTGAGCATACAAAAATTTAACGAGTAAACAAATTTCCAAAAGAGTTAGTCCGTATCATTAATCTTAAAACACATATGCGTAATTAAATCGAATGTTTTATCCGATTGACAACAACTCCATTAAAACATCAAAAGTTCATAAAAAAACGAAAAGTTCATGTAACACTTCCGTCTAAATTGAATCACATTGGCATAATTTGTTCGAAGCTAGAAAAAGCCAAAGTTTAGACGATGTACCAGCGTTCTCTGTCTGTTTTCACATTAGAATTCCCGACCATATGATAAATTAAACCAGTCAGCTATTTGACACACAGTGGAAGTATTTATATTTCAAGAAGATAAAATCATACAGTGCTTCGTAATCGTTTGATATTTTCGCCTCCTTTCCCAATGATACCACCTGCACTTCTACTAGAAACTAAAGCCCGAAGTTCATATTTCCCAGTGCCCACTGCATCTCTGTTGCTATCTGGTTTTTGTCGCTTACCCCCTGAACTTCCTCGGCTGCTGCCATAATCAGCTGAATCTTCACCTCCATGTCGTTTCATCCTTCCTAGAATAAAATTTTTTTGAGCAAGTTTTCAACACCTTCCCACGGTCACAAAAGTGAAGTGACTTCGCAATTCCAATTTCACATTGATTATTGAAAAAAATTTATTGAACTGAAAAAAGTTAATGCTTTTTAAACTCATAAGATGAATCTTATTACAACAGGAATAAAAACTTTAGAGAATCTTAAAGCAGCTGGCACAAATAAAGAAACTATGCAATGCATATGAATCGCTTAATTAGGATGCCATAACTAGAAAAGTCCGGTTTGCACCTAAAAGATGTAAAAATGCAACAGATACAAAATCTTAAATCCTCAGTTACAAAAAACCAATAATTTCAGTTTGTAAAAGTAGAAATTTTTCATAAAAACTTATAACAGCAACCTGAAAAAAAAAAAAAAAAA